TTATTGTACATCCCTCTTTCTAGTATTTTACTGGGATCACAGCATAATCGATATTTTAGTACATGCTGGTAAGGCACCACATTCAGATACTTTTCTTTCTTGAATATTTTTACCAAGCACCCTGTGCAGGGATATTAAATTATCATGTAGAAGCTCTTAACTCTCAGGCTTATCTCATCCTCTGGGGCAGCCCCTAGTTGACTTCGTCTCAGCAAACCCTTTAAAAATTATTTTAAAAATAATTATAGTTTGATAGAAAGTTGGAAAAAAATCTATAGGGAGGTCCCATATACCCTTCACTCCAGTTTTCCTGAGTGGTAACATCTTATATAACTATAATGCAATATCACAATAAGAAAAAATAAAGATATTGGTACTATCCATGGAGCTTGTTCAGATTTCTCCACTTTTATATGCACTTATGTGTGTGTGTGTGTGTAGTTTAATGCAATGTTATATAACCACTGAGACAATCAAGATACATAAACATGTATCATAAACATAAAGCTCCTTCCTGCTCTCCATATGTAGCCACACCTATCCATCCTACTTATACCTAACCTCTGGCAACAACTAATTTGTTCTCCATCTCTATAAATTTGTTACTTCAAGAATGTTTCACAAATACAATCATACAGGTTTTCACTCAGCATGATTCCCCTGAGATCCATCCAAGTTATTGCATGTATCCATAGTTCACCTTTTTTATTGCTGAGTATTCCACAGTGTGGACATACCACAGTTTAACCATTCACCAGTTGAGAACAATTTGGGCTGTTTCCAAGTTTTGGCTATTCATGTATAGGTTTTTGTGAGATCTATAAGATTTCATTTCTCTGGGATAAATGTCTGGGAGTGCAATTGCTGGGTCATATAGTAAATGCATGTTTAGTTTTTGTGGCAACTGCCACAATTGTTCTCCAGAGCACTTAACTATTTCACAATCCCACCTCCAGTGAATAAATGATCCAGTTTCTCAGTATCCTAACCAGCCTTGGTTTTGTCACTATTTTTTTTACAACCATTCTGATAGGTATAATATGATAAGATATCCTGACATCTCATTGTGGTTTTACTTTTCATTTCCCCAATGGTAATGATGTTGCACATGTTTTCATATGCTTATTTCCATCTGTATATACTCTTCAGGAAATGTCTGCTCATATCTTTTGGTAGGCTTTTGAGAGTTCACATTCATGTCTATCAATTATCCAATAAGGTTCAGATCCTGCTCACAGCAATTCATCAATGTGCATACATAGTTTTCCCAGAGAGTTATAACATAACACACAACATAATAGCATTTCTGATACATCATTCTTCACCAGTTTAGAAGGGCAAAATAATACATGCTCACTATAAAAAATTAAACTTGAAAGAACAGAAAAAGATACACATTGCCAAAAGTCTCACCATATAGAGATAACCACTGTTAATATTTGGTGAGCATACTTCTAGATTTCTTTCTGTATGTAAATGCTCTGCACACTTAAAAACTCATCAGTTTATGTAATTAGTGGGATACTATTCTGCACCTTGTTTCTCATAAGCATATATTATTGACATCCTTCCACACTAGTATAGACTTTCATTATCATCTTAATGCCTGTATAGTAACCCACTATGTGTGTATGTTTACTTAACTAGTTTCCCTATTAACAGATATTTAGGTCGTTTCCATTTCTTTTTGCTATTATAAACAATGCTTTAAATAATGTTCTTGGCTGGGTGTGGTGGCTTATGCCTGTAATCCCAGCACTTTGGGAGGCCAAGGTGGGTAGATCACTTGAGGTCAGGCGCTGGAAACCAGCCTGGCCAACATGGGGAAACCCCATCTCTACTAAAAATACAAAAATTAGCTGGGCGTGGTGGCCCTCGACTGTAATTCCAGCTACTTGGAGGCTGAGGCAGGAGAATCACTTAAACCCTCCTGGGAGCGGAGGGTGCAGTGAGTCAAGATTGCACCATTGCACTCCAGCCTGGGTGACAAGAGCGAGACTCTGTCTCAAAAAAAAAAAAAAAGTTCTTATGGGAATAACTTTTTGGATTTTTATAATTATTTTCTTAGGGTAAATCTGTAGAAGTGGGATTGCTGAATTGGAATTGGTCACATATACATGTACGTATGTACACTGATATATATACACATATGTACTGTGTCAGTTTGTAAATGTTTAGGAACTGCCTTTTAGAAAGATTGTGTCAATTTACATTTTCCTCTGCCCTGCTTAAGATTTTCTTTTGTTTGTTTGTTTGTTTTTCTGAGATGGAATTTTGCTCTTGTTGTCCAGGCTGGAGTGCAATGGTGTGATCTTGGCTCACTGCAACCTCTGCCTCCTGGGTTCAAGCAATTCTCCTGCCTCAGCCTCTTGACTAGCTGGGATTACAGGTGCCTGCCACCATGCCTGGTTAATTTTTTTATTTTTATTTTTTATTTTTAGTAGAGATGAGGTTTTCACCGTGTTGACCAGGCTGGTCTCAAACTCCTGACTTAAGGTGATCCATCTGCCCCGGTCTCCCAAAGTGCTGGGATTACAGGCGTGAGCCACTGTGCCTGGCCTTAAGATTCTTATAAGGTTTTTACCTTTTTGCTTGTATTCCCCTTCCAGTGATTTTTTCTCTTTTTATTAAGGATTGGAACACATAGTCCAAATAAATTTATTTATTTACTATTTATTTTTTTCACTGTGTCACCCGATGTGCAGTGGCACCATCATAGTTTACTGCAGCCCTGAACTCCTGGGCTCAAGAGATCCTCTCTGTCACCCTTCGAGTAGCTGGGACTACAGGCATGTGCCATCATGCCAGGCTCCAAATAACTTTTTATTGTTTAAAAATTTTAAATTTTAAAGCATAAACAGATGGAGCACAGGGCTCTGTGAAGTTAGATTACTAAAAGTCCCATACCTATAAAATGGCCATCTTCTACACCTGTTCCTCCAGGACACCTGCTTCAACAGCTTTGTGGTCTGCTTCAACAGCTTTGTTATCTGGCCATCTAGCCTGCTCCCACAATGCCCATGGGGAATGATAAAGACAAGCAGCACACAAATGACATTTACTTGTGGACAAAAGAATTAAGATCAGGAGAAAAAAAAAAATTCCAAGATTACTACTAGCATGCCAAAATTTTAAAGACGAAGAGCGGTGGCATGGAAACTATACATAAAACTGCAAATCCTACTTGCAAAGTTAGAGATTTATTATAAAGTTAGATGATAATTGCAATTTGGGGTCATTCAGATGCTCTCCCCCTCTTTTTGTTTCTCATTTGATCAAAGAATGCAGTATAGCATTTTAATTGTGATCTAGAGAAAGAATAACTTACACTGACATACATCCTAATTTGAAACTCGAGCTTTATAGTAGTCCTTGGGCTTATTTTTCAAGGTACAACAGAAATTTGGTTTGTTGGTTTAATGAGCATACCTTTTACATGGTGATGTTAATATATTTTTGCTTACAAACTTCCTTAGATGGATTAAGCAATACAAAGACTGAATGCAAAATATTGTCTTTCAGTATTTACAAAGCAAGTTCATGTACATCTAACACTAGATAAGAATTCGGTTACAGTATGCATCCACTTATTTCTAACACTTCCTCAGCAGAATTTTTTCATTGCTTTATGCTTATACCTCTAACTTTTCAGCAACATCCCTTCCCCTTCCTCACTTCCATAAAATTTTCCTAGATTGTAGAAAACTAATATGAAAGCGTTTGCAAGATACTTAAGATGTATTTTTGGAGTTCTGGAAATTCTTTTAACTTTGAATTTGTAGTGCTAGATATAACAGTGGAATTTTGCAGCTTCTGTGTATCTGGCTTCTTATTAGTAGCGCGATGGCAAAATGCCTCATTATGTACAGCTCTTCCCTTTCCTAGGTATTTTAGCCTCTATTAGTTTCTCCGTGCAGGTGTTCTGAAGTAGATTGTTAGCTGAATGCAAGAGAAGCAGGAGGGGTGGCGGCCAATCAGAAGGGTCAGGTTCCAGTTCTTCCACAGGACATTGGTTGTATGACCTTGCACACATCCCTAACATTTCAGTTTCATTATATTTAAGACTAAGAGGTTGGAGACCTCATAAAGGTCCTTCAAATATAAAATTATATGAAAATCATTCATAAACTCATGTCAAAATTTATAGTTTTTGTCAGGCATTCTACTAAAGGCACACCTTAAACATTTAATTTTGAAAAATCTGGTGACTATGCACAAAAAGTCGTAAAATGACACAGGAATTAATAGAAATCAATCATTATTCCTTTAATATGCAAAGAGAAAACGCTCAATGTACACTTTTTCGGTCCTGAAGATGATTAATTACAGTTCTCTAAACCTCACATTTAGCATCTCTGTGACCTCAGGCCTTTGGGATTACTTCTAAATAAGACCAAACGGGTCGAAAGAGCTGTAATTGTAATTTATTTTAGGTCAGTGGTTTGGTGGAGGCTTAGGGGTCAGGGGTCCAGCACTCCCAGTATTTCTTGGAGGGTGTTCAGTAGTTTCCAGACCGGCTGACTCTAACTCTTATCTGCAGGGAAGCGTGTCACTCTTTGGAATGAAAGACGGCTCCGCATAAACGACTTGACCAAAAATGGGTGCTCATCTCAGATGCGGGGCAGGGGCTATGTAATTCCATCCTCGACTCGCAGCAGGAAGTTAAGTCCTCCTAAAGGCCAGGCGGGAGGTTACAGGCGCCGAGACACCCAGGCTTACTGGACCCTCCCAGCCTGTAATAATGTGGGGAGATGCTCCCTGGGACAGCCCCCTGGAAGCCTCCGGCAACTGGGCTGGGATCTGCCCACTCTTACTCAGGGGCGAGCCCTCTCGTACGCTTGGAGGCGGCCACCAACTTCTAGGGGGAGGGGCGTTCCCGTCCGGCGTAACCGCCCCGCACCCGCCCCGTTCCGGGGGGCCGTTGGGGACTCTGATCTGCAGGAGGGGGCGGGGTCGGAAAAAATCCGGTAGCTCCAGGCCGGTGTCCGGTTGCCAGGCAATGGGGAGGAGGCGGGGCCGACAGGAAAGAGGAGCCGTGCTCGGCGCGAAAAGGGAACCCTCCAGAGCTGCGGCCGCGCAGCCGCCTTTCCTCCCTCTCGGGGCTGCGCGCCCAGGTCTGCGCCGCGCTCCGCCTCCAGTCGAGCACAGACCTGCGCACGCGTCGTGAGAGCGGCCGCCTCCGTCCCTCGCTGAGCTCGCGCTGGGGCTGCGCGTCTGGCCAGTGGGGGCGCCGCAGCCGGAGCCGCCCCGGAGCCGGTGAACCGAACGGCCTCAAGGGAGGGGCGTGGGGAAGGCGGCGGGAGGAGGAGCGCACGGGCCGGCCGCCGTGCCCACCACGGCTGAGGAGCATGGTTTTCGAGTCGGTGGTCGTGGACGTATTGAACCGGTTCTTGGGGGATTATGTGGTGGACCTGGACACGTCCCAGCTCTCTCTGGGCATCTGGAAAGGTAAAGAGGCCGCCGCCGCTCCCCGGCCTCTCCTGCCTCCGGGCCATTTCTCTGCCCGAGCGGGCTCCGGCGTTCTCGGGGCTTCGAGCACCTTGCTCGCCGGGTGCAGCCACCTGCCGCCGCCAGCCTCCGAGTCAAGTTACGTAAAGCCAGGCGGCAGTTCCCGGGCCTCCCCCCTCGAGTTGTTTATATTTTGCGGGGAAGGAGAGGGTTACGAGTGCGGAATGAAAAGGTTTGTATTTTCTGAGCGGAGCGAACCTGCAGTGGGCTCCGTGGGTCTGGCGTTCAAGTCCTGGCGAGGGGCCCTTCTCTACCCTTGGCCCCGCGCGGTCCAGCTTTAGCCGCGCGGGGCGAGGAATCGAGACGACGCCCTCCTGGGCTGGGTCCCATCCCTGTCCTTTGCCCCCCTGGGGTTATGAGGGAGGCCCCAGAAAGCCCCCGCGTGTTGCAGGCTGCCTCGCAAGTGAAGGCAGGGCGCTGTGACCTGGGACGCCCGCTTCCTAGCTTCCCCAGCCTCCGTTCCCGGCTAGACCCGTGGTGCTTTCTGCTCTCCCGCTTCCGGCCGTAGGACCCGGACGCCGGCTCTCTCGCCTGGGTTCGGCCGATAACAAAAAGGAAACTCACGTGTAGAGTAACTCAGAAAGTTGTTTGTGTGGTTGCAGTTAACAGCCTGACCCAGGAATGTGTCACATTTTCAAGGCTTCAGGATATGTGGGTCAGAGTGAATTGCCGAATGTTAAAGAAAAACCAAGGCGTGCGGTGCAACGTCTCAGACCTGCAAAAGACCGGACTGAGCAGGGCCCTACGCTGCCTAGGTGGTGAAGGACCGAGCTTTCCTTGTGTCCGTTTAGTTTGGGGTTCTGCCTTACTGAGAGCCTCATTTTTAATGTTTCCATCTGTTTTTGTATTATTCTCTTGTTTATTTTAAACACCCGCTAGACATTAGACTCCTTTATGAAATGAATTTCCCAGGCTACAGTGAGGGTTAATTTTGTGTGTGAGTAGTGTGTTTAAATATATATTTAAAGTAATTTTACCTATTCTTGTCTATGCACACACTTCTAGCCTTCTTCTAAAATGCTTATCTCGACTCTTGTCGTTTATGAGATGATGTAAACAGGTAATTTAGTTTGATTTTAAAGAATGTTACTACGGTGGGGACCTAGTGTCATGATGGAGAGTGAGTGGACTACAAAAACTAGGGTCATAGCGATAGCTGCTCAGCCTGTTTGATTAGTACGAGAAACTTGCAGACTGTTTATGCAGCTTCTTAGTTGCAAAGTGAAAATGAAATTTGTCTCCCATCTACCTCAGAAGGAAGCCTTAAGAATACTTGAGGTGAACTTTGATCTGTAGTAGAACCTTGCTTCTGCACTCAGGGTGGAGGTTTGTTTAGAGTGTGACTAATCAACTTATTTATTTAAAATTTACATGCAATAAAATTCTCTCTTGTGATACAGTTCTTGACAAATGCTAAGAGGCATGTATCTACCACCACAATAATGACACATAAAAGTTTCATCAAGCCTCCCGAATTCTCTCAGCTGCTCCTTTGTAGTTGACCTCACGCCGCCTCCTGGCAACCGGTCATCCGTTTCTATCCCTCTGTTTTTTTTTGTTTTTTGTTTTTTGTTTTTGTTTTTTGAGACGAGTCTCGCCCTGTCGCCCAGGCTGCAGTGGCGCGATTTGAGCTCACTGCAACCTCCGCCTCTCGGGTTCAAGCAATTCTCGTGTCTCAGCCTCCCGAGTAGCTGCGACTACAGGCGCGTGCCACCATGCCCGGCTAATTTTTTGTATTTTTAGTAGAGACTGGGTTTTACTGTGTTAGCCAGGATGTCTCCATCTCCTGACCTCGTGATGCGCCCGCCTCGGCCTCCCAAAGTGCTGGAATTACAGACGTGAGCCACCGCACCCAGCCCCACCCCTCGTTTTTTTTTTTTTCCCAGAGTGCATATAAATGGAATTATATGGTATGTAGCCTTTTGGGTCTGGGTTTAATTCGTCCATTTATCGCATACATTAGTGAATTTCATTTCTGTATTTTTGAGTAGTGTTTCATTCTGTGGATGGACTGTATGTTTGTTTGGTTTTGAGAGAGAGTCTCACTCTGTCGCTCAGGCTGGAGTGCAGTGGCACAATCTTTGCTCACTGCAACCTCCGCCTCTCAGGTTCAAGTGATTCTCGTGCCTCAGCCTCATGGATAGCTGGGACTACGGGCGCGCCACCACGTCCCGCAAATTTTTGTATTTTCAGTAGAGACGGGGTTTTGCCATGTTGGCCAGGCTGGTCTCAAACTCCTGACCTCATGCGATCCGCCTGCCGCTGCCTCCTAAAGGGCTGGGATTACAGGCATGAGCCACTGCGCCCGCCTAACTGTAAGTATTTATCTGTTTGATGGTTGAAGGATATTTCAGTTTTTGGAGGTTATGAATAAAGCTGTCATAAACATCCATGTACAGGTGTTTGTGTGAATATAATTGTTATTTCTCTTGGATAAATATCTAAGAGTGGGATTGCAGGTTCATTTTAAATTGGGTTGTACGGTTTGTTTTTGTTTTTGTTTTTGATTGAGATTTAATTCATATACCACAAATTTCACCCTTTTAATATGTACAATTCAGTGTTTTTTAGTATAGTCACAAAAATGTACAACCATCACCATTCTCTCGTTCCAGAACATTTCGGCACCCCAAAATTAAACCTCATGCCCATTAGGAGTGACTCCCAATTTCCTCCCACTTCTCACTACTGCACCTCTGGCAACCACTAACCTACTTTCGGTCTTTATGGATTTGGTAATTCTGGACGTTTCATTTAAGTGGAATTATATAATATATGGCCTTTTGTTTCTGGCTTCTTTAACCTAATGTATTTTCAAGGTTCCTCCATGTTGAAGGATGTATGACTATTTCATTTGCTCTTTGGTTGAATAATATTCCATTGTATTCATAGACCACAATTTATGTGTATTCACCAGTTGTTGGATATTTAGATTATTCCTAAACATCCACCTTTTGGATACTATGAATAATGCCACTGAACATTCATGTTCAAGTTTTTTTGTGAATGTATGTTTTAAATTCTTTTGGATATATACTTAGAAGTGGAATTGCTTGGTCATATGCTGACTCTTTGTGTAACCTTTTGAGGAACAGCCAACCTCTTTTTCCAAAGTGTTTGTTTTCTTATTGTTGAGTTTTGAGAGTTCTTTAAATATTAAGCATACCAGTGCTTCATCAGCTATGTAATTTGAAAATATTTTCTCAGTCTTTTCCCATTTTGTCTTTTGTAGAGCATACATTTTAAATTTTAGATAAAGCCCAGTTTATAAAATATTTCTTTTATGAATCATGGCTTTTGGTATTCATATCTAAGAAATCTTTTCCCAACCCAAAGTCAAAGATGTTCTCCTACGTTGTCTTATGGAAGTGTCGTAGTTTTAGGTTTTGGATCTCTTTTTGTGCAAGGTATAAGATATGTGTTAAAGGTTGAGGTTCATTTGTTTGCATGTGGATGCAAATATCCAATTGTTCAGCACCACTTGCTAAAAAAGACGATCCTTCCTCTGTTGCATTATCTTTGCATTTTGTAAAAAAAAAAAATCAGTAGACTTAATACTGTGCGGATTTAGTCTGTCTCAACAATCTATGTGTCTGTCATTTCACCAATACTACACTGTCTTGATAACTGTGTCTTTGTAGTTAGTCTAGAAATCAGGTAGTATGATCTCTCTAACTTTAGTCTTTATCAAATAATTAAAAACAAGTCATTGTCCAGGTGTGGTGCTCATTGCTGTAATCCCAGCACTTTGGGAGGCTGAGGCAGGAAGATGGCTTGAGCATAGAAGTTTGAGATTACAGTGAGCTCTGATCATGCCACTGCATTCCAACCGAGGCAACAGACAGCGAGACTCTGTCTCAAAATAAAATAAAATGTCAGTGTTTTATTTATAGAAATTGGTTATGTTTTGATAGATGAAACTTTAAATAATAGCTGGAGTATTTTTAAAAAATATTCTTTGAGAATTTCAAAAGTAGTAATTTGACAAATTTGGAGGATTTTTAAAAAACATTGTTTGAAAATTTCTGTAATAGAAACTAGATGGCCAGATGTAGCAGCTCATGCCTGTAATCCCAGCACTTTGGGAGACTGAGGAGGGTGGATCACTTCACACCAGCCTGGCCAATGTGGTGAAACCTCATCTCTACTAAAAAAATAAGATCCAAAAATTAGCTTGATACTGTGGCGCTCGCCTGTAATCCCAGCTACTCAGGAGATTGAGGAAGGAGAATTGCTTGAAGCTGGGAGACATAGGTTGCAGTGAGCTAAGATAGCGCCACTACCTTCTAGCCTGGGTGACAGAGCAAGACCCTGCCTCAAAAAATAAAATAAAATAAAATAAAAATTAAAAGACAGAAACTAGATGCTGCATAGGAAAATTTTAAGATAATATTTTATGGTCTAACACAAAGGACCTATTGGTAGTTGTAAATGTGTGCTTTTGCTAGGCTTCTGTGTAATAATCCAGCAAATTTCAATATTAGCGTGTTAGTATAATATCAATTAGTATTCAGTCATTACTAATAATGGATGGTGATCTGAAAATTTGTTGCTGAGATGGATTCTTTGGAAATCAGAATGCATTTTCCCATGGAAGCATTCTTATATATGAATTATGAGTTTTCCAAAAACCTGCATTTAACTATAATGCAGCAGAAGAATGCTGCGGTACTGGGTTCAATATAGTAAGTAGACTCACTGCTAGAAGAATCTATCTGACAGGGAAGGAAAAAGGAATTGAGCTTCATTCCAGGACTAACTCTTGGCAAATTTTGATGTGGGTAAGGTATACTTTTTATACACTTCTATTTATAATTCTCCCTTCCCATATATCATCTAGAGAGGTGGTAATATTTCATAGACTCATCTGAAATTTATCCTCCCACCTTTCTCAAGCAACGTAGCATTTCACATGTTTTCTTTTTCTTTTTCTTTTTTTT